TATTAAAAAATAACAATAAAAAAGTAAATAAAACACAAACAACAAAAAAACAAAAAGAAAATTATTTGGATAGTGTTGTTTTGTTACCTGACATTTATTTCTTTTTTTTTTTTTATATAAATTTTTTTTGTAGGGGGGGGGGGGGGGGGGGGGGGGGGGGGGGGGGTGAGAGAAGAGCTAAACTGTATTTCATCAAAAACTTAAATTAATTTGGAATAAATATTTTAAATACCTATTAAGTATTACGATGATTATGGATGAAATGTCAAAATACAATGTACATACAGCGCTCTATATGCATGTAGAGTGTAAAAGAGACCCCTATTCTTCAATGTCGGTACAGAAAAAAAGGAAACTCCCTTACCAAGGCTTAAATGACAGGTTAGATATAGTAAGCCCTATTCAAAGTACACTGTTAATCAGGTAGGCTAGATCAAGTACACAAATCCAATCTAGGAAAGAGCTTTTGAGAGAAAACAAATCAGGACTCAGTCATGAATCAACAGTTCATGAGACAACTGAGAAGAAATTTCATAAACTATGAGAAAATAGCTAATGGAAATCTGAATTTTTATGGTACCATTTATATAAGCATCACATTAAACCTCATTTACAAACATATTGTTATTATAAAATAAGATGATATTGAAAGGGCTTCATCCCTTAGACCATTATTTTTCGTGGATAAGTATGTACATGAACGTGCCTGTCTCCTAATGTTGGTGGGATCCATAAATATACTTGACAGAACATCTCAAAATTTAATTCTATGTACTGTTATATTATGGTTTTCAAAAAGCAAGTGGATTGAGACATGAACATAAAACTCGTCGCAAAAACCACAGGTCCTCTGGGCAAAACAGTACAGTCCTGTGGGTTTTGAAAAGAATTTAAATCTATCAGAGTATGAAAAATCTCCAAATCACCCATCCACAAATCTACACTGTCCTCACAAACATGAATGTCGGTAGATACAATTGTAGAGAAGCCATAAGATTATTAACTAAACACCGGATGTTCAATTGGCTTTTAGGAAAAAAGTACTGCATTAATTCAAGTGCATCAGGAATATTAAACCATGTCGGTATGTTCAACTGTGATGAGCCACACTGACATAGAAATATGACATAGTTTCTGAATTCTAGAATTAGGAATCATTTCCAAGAAACCGTTCTAGTGTTGGCAAAAATTTTCAACTGAAACTAACATAAAACATTTATTTTATTTTAATACTTTCTCAGTAAAGTCTCGCAAGACAGAGCAAGTGGAATTTATCCGTCGCTTAATCTGTTTTTCCTACAAAGTTTAATCTATCAGAATATCCAGAAGGTGTGCTTCCGTCTAGTACTAAAGAAGAGCGAGAAAACAAAATCTTTTGTGGTCTGCGTTGTAAGGCTGCTGTACCCTGCGAACAGAGTCTCCTTCGATCTTCCTAGATAAGTCGGGAAGAGGAAGGAACCTCTGCCGACATCCTCAACAATTCATATTGAGCATGCTCCAAATTCAAATTTTTCTGCGGTGTCAATCAAACCGTTAGCGTAGCATCCACTGTGTTTGTCAGCGAATGTAAATGTTAGCGGGAACGTACCGGTTCGTTTTCACCCCTCCGTAACTGTGTTTCCTCTGGATTTGGNATGGTGAAATCGGGAGCTATCAGGACGTGAATCAACGTTTTTTAGATAAGCTTAAATTGAATCAAATTTCTGCTGATATAATTTGAAGAAAATTCTTTCATACCTATAAAACTATTCGAATAGCCACTCGTCAGGTTTCTACAAAACGTTTGGTTCTCTACTTCAACGATTTTCGTGTAAAACAGGTACGGTACTAGGGAAATCCCTGGCAACAACCAACTTATAAGCAGAAAGAATATGCGAGGCGTTCGAGATATGTTTAAGGCCTTTAGTGGACACGCGGTTACAATAAATCTGTCCACAGCGACGAGCATTAAGCTTAGAATGGAAACCACATACGACACCGATGGTGAATAAATTCGCTGCAGCAAATTGAAGCGAAAGCTGAGTTGGTAATTAGACTTCCACCAGCAGGTTTTATCATCCCTTTAGTAGCTTAGAGCAGCCAGTTAAGGAAACACAAACCAGATCTGAAGCCGCCATGTTAATGAGCTGGTTTTAAGGTTAACAGACTTGATAAATAGTAGGATGACAAGAGAATTCCCCATTAACGCCAGCAAGCTGACCGTTGAAAGAATAACCGTTACTGTTTCGGACAAGCTAGAGGAGCACCGTGTTTGAAGTGGACTGTAAGCTGCGCTGCTATTATTCATGTCTCTTTATCATTTCACTAGCCACAGTGAAAGAAACCCTTCTCCTGTTCATAAAGCATTTGAAAACTGGTGATGAGAAATAATATCTTAACATATAAAGACCGCAAATATTGATTCAGTGAGCTATTAACGCTTCCGCCACCTGTATGCGGGTTCATCGTCCGATGACAATTAAAATTGAATGGACCTGAAAGCCATTATTGCATTTGCGAAACAAGTGTTAGATAGTGAGAACTTAGAGAATAATTTTCAACATTAAGTTTCAGTGCCGATCAATATGAAGACCACTTAACCGTCACTTCACCGATTTATATAACCACAGTTGAGGTTTTTATTCGGTTCAGTGCTTTTTGAAAAAAAGTAGCATGAATGGTTTTACCAAAGTTAAAATTTATCCGGCTATTATCCTCCTGTATATTAACACTGTCCGTGGCGTGGAACTCATGAGCAAATAAATTTTTGCAATTGGTTATTACGACTGTTGTCAAACAGACAAAACCAATTGCTGAAACTACATTTGCAACTTTTTCCTACATGGACTGCATCTGGAAGATAAACACATAACTCCAACTGGGGATCTACCAAACCATCTCTCTGAAGCTGCTCCAGTAACTTCATGGCTTGTTTGTTTCCCTCCTCGCAGTCAGACGTAAGGGCAAGGATGGCAAGATGCACACACTGAATATTGTTCTCTAAGCAGTGATTGCAAGCTCGTAGGGCTGGAGAGTAACTAACTTGGCCGTTTTTTGAGCACTCATCGCAGACTTGCTTTTGCTCCCAACAGGTTTCACACTTCTTGTTGCAGATAGTTTTGTTGCATTGAGAGATGAGTTCTACGGAACTGGTTTTCTCCAAGCAGGCCTTGCATGATTGCAAAGCATCTATTTGCTTTGCAAACATATTTAGCATGTCTTGTCCACTCTTCCCCGTCTTTGTCAGATATTCAACAGCTACCGGCATACTGACAGTATCACAAAGCGTAGTTAAGAATGAAACATTTGCCTCCGTGATAACGTTTTCCTTAAGAAACTCTGGACTAGGAGAGGGATTCTTTTTTACAAATTGAATATCAATCTTTGGCTTCAAACCGACATTGCACTTCAAGGCTTCATCAAACAATATTCCAGGCTGCAGTGCTGTCCCATCGTTTTGCATAGCGGCACCAATAACTTTGGCCTTGGGCGTATTAATAACGGGAACCACCTCCGTTGGGCCCCCTGTTACAAATGTAAGAAAACCTAGGTGCATATCCTTTAAAACGCCGCTCGCATTAGTATAACCACCTTTCATTTTCCGTCTTGTAGGCTTTGAGGGTCCACCAAGGTTTGGTTTTGCATCTTCGGGCTTCTTGACTCCCCCTTTTCCTGTTCCGTGATACATGGGGCCTCTAATAAAATTTACAGTGCTTTCTCCCCCGAGGTGTTCAATGGTGTTAAAAAATTCCACAACTTCTGGATTATACTGGTGGTTGGGGTCAATTAAACAGTGAACTGTATCCCTTAAATACTTATACATGATTCTATCTCTTGGTATCAGACCCCTTTTAATCAACTCGTCAAGTTTTATGCAGACTTCGTCTGCTTGATTCACTGCTAATGGAACAAAAAACCAATCACAGTCCTGTAAATTCTTTTCTTTCTCGTCATCCGAGGCGGAGTCTGAATCACTATTAGAACTATTGACCGAAACACTTGATAACCGCGGGCGTTTGTGGTCATTGATTTCCATTACTATCATGTCTTCATCCAACTCCAGACTCTCATTCACAGGATCGAAGACTGTCACATTCGCGTCATAAGGGTCAATATCCAAATGCTCACTATAAAGTTCGAAGCTCAAGTGTCTTGGGTCACTACGAAGAAACAACAAACTTGTTGGTTGATTTTAGTCGATTTTCTTATGGCAAAAGAAAGGTACAATGGCGGTCGTAAGATAAAATCATGTCAACATGACAATGATTCGAAGTCCAAAATTTGGCAACTATAGATGAAACTCATGCAATCAGTTATGATGGAATAAATGCGTCTTCTCCTCTTAATTCTGTTTTGTGATCTGTTGTCAATTTGTAAAACAATAATTGGTAATTAATTTTCAATTTTAAGAGCCTTTATTCTGTATGATAATTAACTCTGAATATAAATGATCACAGTCTCAATAGTAGACATGAAGTTCATATAGATAAACGATTTACAATACAAAAGAAGGAATTAATCACATTTGTAGATCTGGATCGCTAATATCATTTTCATCTTTATCAGGGTTGCAGTCAACCACAGCATCGTTAGCTTTTTCAATAAACCCACTGCAATCCACATTCCGGTTGTCTC